ACCGGTGGCATAGCTTTCAGAATCACAGCAACTCACAAGCTACCACAGTACGACAAACTGACAGACACGTGGGGGCCGTTTGATGTTAAGTGGAAACTGTCACTTTAAATTTCGAGGAAGTCTGCGCACATGCGTAGTAGAACCATCCAGGGTAGTGGGTGGGGTGTCCATTCATTCAGGCATCCTCTCTAGTCACCAGAATGGAGGTGCGCAGACAGCGAGAAACCAATGAACAGTTGTTAGGTGCTGTCAAATCAGTTCTAACCCTCATGCACAACCAAACAAAACATTGCCTGGTCCTGCATCATCCTCACAATTGTTACTAGGCTTGAGCTCACTGCTGTTGTCACATTGCCAATCCATCTTCTTGGGTTTCTTCCCATTTTTTGCCCACCCTCCAATTTACCAAGCACAATGTAGTAAAGATAAAAATATCTAAATAAATCCCAGTCTATGAATAACATATTTACTCTAATATATAGCTAAATTTTCTGTGTAAATTGTCATCTAAAGGAGAGATACATGTGTCAGAGAAAGGAAAAGAGGCGATATTAACAATAGTATAGTCAATTTCTATGCCTCTTGATGAACTGTATTCTTTCCTAAGCTCTCATTTTAAGATTTATTTCTAAAATTAAATATCAGACACAAGTTCCTTGAGAAATAAAAAATACTCTGATTAAACAGTTTATTTACTTGAAGACTTAAAGTATAGCTCAAAATGGGCTTTATTATGAAGTATTAGACTACTACAATTAACATCCCAAGAATAGCTAGGAAATAATTCAAGTTGTAAGTCAGGAAGCTAATGACCAAAGGCAAAAATTATTTTAGTTTCTCTCTCAAATTAAGTTTTCTACATAAATAAAGATATGAATATTAAAGATGTTTATCCCTGATTCTTTCTAAATTTTGCCTACATGGAATAATGTAAAAATTCAATGAACTGCACTCTAATAATTTTAACCATATTTTGGAAGATTAATTATAAACAACAGTACATACACATACCTAAAAATAAATTCACTGAGAAAAGAATATCTTGAGAAAAATTAACTTAGCTTCTAACTTACAGGAGCAACCAAGTTTTAAAATTAGGTTATCTTTCACCTCCTTTTAATTCTAAGATTATAAACATATTAGAAAGCTAAACGTTGTTATGACTGCATTAGTGTCAAAACAATATGTTATTGGAAAGACTTACCAGAAATTTCCTTCTTGCAAGATATCTGATTTACTATGTACAGGTTAAGAAGATCTAAACTGACAGTAGAATTTTTGGCAGGGGATAAAACTCCCAATAACTTCATTTTTGATTTTAATCTTTTCTTTTCAAAATATTCCTAAAATCATCAAAAAAAAATTTTTAATTATTGCAGCAACCATGTAATTTAGGTAGAAACATAAATAACAAAATAATAATGCTATTAGATCATTTACTTGATTTTTTTTACATAACTATAACTATAGCTAAAATAGTTCACATAACTATATATAACTTCACATAACTATATATTAAAAATTACTGTTTTTAAGTGCTGTCGAGTCTGTTCCTACTCATAGTGACCCCATAATGGGTTTCTGAGGAGCAGCTGGTGAGCTTGAACTGGCAACCTTGTGGTTCAAACTGATCTTGCAGATCAGCGCAATAACCAAGACTCCATATATAAATTATAATCAATCTCAATAACTGCACTTTCCATGAAGATGACATTTTACAACTTCTTCCAATCTTTCTTTAGTTAACATATCTTTAAGCTTAACTTTTAAATCAACTCCTGCATCCAAAAGATCACAAATTGTAGAAAAAATCTGATAACTAAAAAAAAATAATCTAACAGACTAAAGGCTTGTATTTCTACAAAGTGTAATATGGTACAAACATAAAAAGCCTTAAAAGTATACACAGCTGACAGCTATTACAAGTCAACTGAAAAAAAAAAGTGACGTGAGAACTAACTAATCAGCAACCAAAGTTGCTTGCCTAAGCAAGCAGTTTATTTCAATTTTTTTAATCTCTCCATGATTCTTAGATTTTGCTTTTTTTTTTTCTTTAAAAAAAGAATTTCTATAACTATCTTCCTTTATCTAGTATTTATTTTCTTCCTGGCTATTACTTCTTATCATCATTCGTTTTCTCTCAGATTGTATTCTTAATTTACCAAATTAAAAGTCATTTTATTTATTTGATTAACATTTATTTATTGAGTGTTTACTGCATGCTAAATTAACAAATTGTAAAAGTATCTCCTCTTTTTTTAAACAAGTCAGAAAAAATTATAATATGCACAATTATAAATGTAAAACATCAAAAGTGAAAAATATTCAATTATAAATGTAAAATGTCAAAAATGAAAAAAACTCAAGGCCATAAGAAGTATTATATTTCTTAAGATGTTAGGGCTGTTTTACATTGGTATTTCAGATTTGTGCTTAATAAATTATTTTTAAGATTGCAAAGAACTGAAAGAGATTTTCCAGCTATACAGTACAAAAAACAAAACAAAACAAAAAAATCTTATTCTTATGCAAAGGAGCCAGAGATAAAAGATATCTGGTCATATTTTATTTGAATGATTTATGAATACAAATTGTACTAAAATGGCATTTAAAAGGTCACACTACAATTTAGCCATCTGTCCAGTCCAGTTGATGCCATCGAGTCCATACTTGAATCATTGCCACCCTATAAAGACAGAAAAGAAATGTACCATAGGGGTTCCAAGACTGTAAATCTTTATAGGAGCAGACAATCTCATCTTTGTCCAGATGAATGGCTGGTGGGATTGAACTGCTGACCTTGCAGATAGAGGATGGTATTAATGCCTCATGAAGAGTATGTAAATTATGAAGACATAGAAGGGGATGGAGAACCTGGAAAGTTTCCCAAGAAATGATTTCTAAGATGGATAGATGAGTCCAAAGTTGACTAAAGAAAGCAGGAAGACAACATTCCAAGAATAAGGATGAACAGTATAGATGAGGCATGGATTAACATGAGCCTCATACTGACTGAAGTCTTGTGACTAAAACCTCAAGGAATATTGAAGCCTGCTTGCTTGAGCAACTGTAAAGATGTGCATGCAGGACAGGTTCAGGGTACATAGCTGAGCAGCCAAATCCTGGGACTTGGCATTAAGAAAGATCACCCATAAAAATTCCATTTTTTACTTCCTGGTCAGATTTCCAGACTGATTTACCCAGGGCCTTAAGAATACTTTCTGCTAGGGCTGAGGAAACACCAGCCCTTGGAAGGGGGTTTGAACTAGGGTGTGAAGCTCAACATCCCAGAATAACCTTTGTCTGCTCCTATCAGAAGTTGTCAAGGACTTCATTCTTCATGGAAGGAACAGTCAAGAAATCAAACAACGTATTGTATAAGGCGAATCTGCTGTACAGGAAGTTTTTAAAGTGTTGAAGAGCAAAGATGTCAGCTTGAGGACTAAGGTGCACCTGACCCAAACCATGGTATTTTCAATAACCTCATATGCATGTGAAAGCTGGACAGTGAATAA